TGAAATCCATGAAAATGATTGAAAAGATTAATTCAGCAAGGTCACAGGATACAAAGTCAACATACAAAGCCAATTTTATTTCCATAAACTAGCAATAAACAAAAAATTAAGAAATCAAACTCACAATATCAACAAAAAAAATTTTCTTAATTTAGGAATTTAACAAAATAAGAAAAAGCAGAGCTTGAGGCTGGGGATGTGGCTCAAGCGGTAGCGCACGCGCCTGGCATGCATGCGGCCCGGGTCCGATCCTCAGCACCACATACAAACAAAGATGCTCTGTCCGCTGAATACTAAAAAATAAATATTAAAAAAAAAAAATCTCTAAAAAAAAGAAAAACCAGAGCTTTTACACTAAAACTACAGAAAAAAGAGATAGTGATTACTTGTGTTTAGAAAAAGGAGGAAAAGTGTTTGCCAGTGTGAATCACTTTTAAGAATTTCTCCTATGAAATGTGGAAATGATTTTATAAGTCATATTTTTATCACTAAATTCCCAGAAAAATATAATTTTAAATAACCATCTGTTTCTTTTGGTTATCATTAATGAACTAGCAAACATTTATTATAGATCAAGACACATAAATATATTAACACAAGTTATATTAATATAAATTTAGTAAGATAATTTGATTGAAAACAGATACACTCTAGAGACTAAGGAAAATACAAGTACACAAAAATTTGTTCATTGTTAGGTTTAAAAGTTAAAAAAAAAAAGTTAAGCTTTATCCCTTATAATAAAGATAGAGGAAATCAAATGATTCTCATCTAAATCATAAAATAAGCATTTGATCTAAAACAAGAGTAGGCATACCTGGGAACGTTATTGTTTGAATCTTCACTTTCATTTGCCAGACCACCAAACAAATAGCATTTGTTACCATATAAAGAAAAACTATGTCCAAGCCGAGGACAAGGAGGTAAACCAGAAGAAGGGGGGTGGGGTTTCACTTTTTTCCATAACCATCGACTTGCCTGAAAAAGACCAAACACACTGAGGTAAAAGGAAAGCATTCCTATTCCTACACTGTCAACAGTGCATCATACCAATATATTTTCAACCAAATGCCATCAGAAGTCTTCAATAGGCAATTTTTGAAACAAACGACAAATAACAAATAATTTCTATAATTAAAATATATGTAGAAATTCTAATTAATTTTTCGATATATAAGGATTTCCACAATGGTATACTAAGCTTATAAATAATAATAACATTAATAATACTAATGTTTTCCAACTTAAAAATTTTTTATTATGTATACCTTTAAGATTAAATGTAATTTTTTATTTATTTACTTATTTTCAAATATTAGGTAACCCATATATGCTAAGTATTTTAACATTTAAATTAACATAAAGCTCATTTCACAAACCAAACCTCCAAAATTATACTCTAGCTATAAAGCTTTCTTTGTCTCAAACTTTTTGAAATGGGTTGCTGGTAAATAAGCATAATTCATCTACATCTGCCAATTTGCAGATAACCTCAAAATAATGACCCTGGAAACATGTATAAATCAAGAAAAGTCAAGGAGGGATCTGGTTTAATAAAGGAGTCAAATTTAGAAATGATTATATGTACTGAAACCCTCTTTTTCACATATTGTGGGGGATCAGGGAAAAACAGGGAGTAATGATTAGTGTGAGAGGTAACAATTTGTATGACATCAAAGCAGTGGTTTTCCAAGTATACAGTCTTGGAACCAGCAGCATCAGTTGAGAACTTGGCAGAAATGCAAATGTTCAGGCCACACTCTAGACAATAAAGCTTCCGGGCAGGGCCAAGCAATCTGTTCTCACAAATCCTTCAGGTGCTTCTGTTACAGGTTAAAAATGAAAAACTATTACACTAAGATACAAAAACCTAAACATATAACACATGCAAGTAATGTAAAACATTTAACTTAATGTTACAAATGTCACACTGGGCATGGAAAAGAACTTAGACTAGAAACTTTGGCTTTTAAATGAAGTGGAAACATTTTCTTTCAAGGTATAAAGTGTGAAGTTCATGCTATTTTAAATATGCTAATGAAATATTTTGCAATCTTTTGATGAATTATGACCAGTATCAGTACTAAAACTTTAGACTGAAATAATAAATCTTAAATACACTTACTTGTAACTCATATAACTCATTGCTGTATCTTCCATATTCAACCATTCCCCCAAATACTAATATTCTGGTACCATCACAGACAAATCCATGGGCAGCACAGCCTGGAGGGATGTCTCCTCTAACAGCTGGTAGGAACCACTGATTTGTAACTAATTGCCAAAATAAAATTAAAATCAATTATAACAATGATTATCACATTCTATGAATATATATTTTATAGGTATCATCTGTGTCAGTGGTTCTCAACTGGGGATGATTCCCAGCCCCAAGGGAATCATCCTTTGGCAACGTTTGGAAACAATTTAGTTGTCACAACTGGAAATGGAAATGTTACTGGTAAGTAATGGACAGAGGCCAGGGATGCTGTCAAACATCTTACAATGTACACAATAATACCCCACAGCAAAGGATCATCTGGCCCTAAATGTCAACAGTGCTACTGTTGAAAAAACCCGATCTATATCATCCAATTCTTACAAACCCTCTGCTGGGTATCTTCGCCGTTTTACAAATAAAAATCTGAAATTTTGAAAGACTTGGTAAATTTAATGCTGATTCTGGATAACTGGCAGAAAAGATTCAAGTTAGGTCAAATTTGTTCGAAAGCCAGAGTTTTCACACCATACTAAATCCATAGCTTTTTAACGTTATACTCTGGGTTGTTCCGAGGAGAGGACGAAAAAGTTCCCTACTCTACTGTTCTGTTAAACTTTAAAGAGACCACTGGGGTTACGTCGTTTGGTCAAAGAAAAGTTGTCGATCATGAAATCAACCCCCAATTCAGTAATTAGCCTTACATCAAGGGCACCGATTTCTTTAGATGACTGGAGTATTTGCAAGTGGAGGGAAAACAATAAATTCCAGCTTTCTATGCCACGGAGAGTCCAGGGCAGGGCGGCCTCGCTAACCAGCGGCACCTGCGATCTGCAGGGGGTCAAGTCGAGACACCCTCGTATCGGGAGACCGGTCGCGAACGGCGCCGCACGCACCCGGGCCGCAGAGACCAGGCCGGGCTCGCCCCCAGCCACCTCCCCGCTGGGTCAGGGGCGACCGACCGGGGAAACGGCGAAGCTCTGCCGGATTTGGGGCCGTACTGAGCGCAGGGTCCCAGAAGGACCCTCTCCCTCCTCGCCCGCTAAGCCCTTCCTCCTGAGGAGCCGAGGAAGGAAGGCGAGAAGGCACGGCCCGGAGGCGCTCTGGCTTGGAGGGGGTTTTGTTTCCTGACAGCGGCGGTACCCCGGCCCCCGCAGTGGGCGAGGCCGCAGCAAAGGCCCAGGCGGGTGGACGCCGTGTCTCTCCGAGGTCTGCCGGCCGGGCGGGGGCGCGGGGGTCGGGGCGGCCCACCTGAGGAGCGGCGCCCCGGCTCCGGGTCCGACCCGCCCCGCGGGGCCCCGGGGAAGCGGAGCTGCGGTCCAAGATGCTGCGGGCCCGGGCCGCCCAGCCGAGGAAGCGGTGACCGGGCGGTGACAGCTGTCAGGGCCGCGGCCGCCGCCTCGTCTCCCCTCCCCCTCCGCGGCTCCCGCAGGCGGGGCCGAAGAGTCGCCGCCGCGCCTACCGGTGTTGTAGACGTGCAGCTCATCCGCGATGCCCTCATTGCCCCCGCCAAAGATGATCATCAGCTCCCGGATGGCCACGGCTCGGTGTCCGTGCCGGGCGCGGGGTACCGGCCCCGTGAAGGAGGAAACCCGCCTCCAGTTGAGGAGGCTGGGAGCCGCCATCTTCCCAACCCCCGCCCCTCTGCCCACAGTGCACCGCGCCCGCTCCAGCGCCTCGGCTCCGGGGGAGGGCGGGGACCGCCCCCAGCGGTGCGCGCGGGAGGGGCGTCACGTGACAACGGGCGCCCCAGGCCAGTCCTCTGCGGAGCCCCGCCCCGGCCCGCCGCGACGTGGCTGGTCCGGCCCCGGGCCACGAGTCCTGGGTTGCTAGGACTGTCCCGCCGACCGCGGCTACCCCTCTCGCCCCGCGCCCCCACTGGAGTATTTGGGGGAGAAAGTACAACGTTGTCCTTCGCGTCCACTTTAACTGAACATCTGCCCTATGCAGGCGGGTCAGCCCCTGCGAACGGTCGCCGCTCACAACCCGGGAAAAGCTCGAGTAGCGGTCCGAAGTGCTGGGAGCTCTGGGCAGAGGAGGACGCCCGAGCAGGCGGGCTCCGGGAGACCTGCAACCGGGAGTTGCATCTCTGCCCGCCCGAGGGAAGGTCGCTGCAAAGCCTGCCCAGGGAATCGAGGTCGGGTTTGAGGGACGCCAAGCCAGAAATTTAGAAACGGTGAACCACAGAAGGTGACTTGGGTTTGTTAGGTTCAGCAGGTGACAAATTATGTGTAAATTTATTTCTTCTTGCCACCAGTCAACCGACGGACGTCCACTGCCAGGCAGCGTCCTTAGTTGCCCTCTCTCTATTAATTTGTCTTTCCAACAGTCCAGCGAGATGCGTATTGCTATTTCCCTTTTGTGGGTGGAGAAAGGAGGCACAGGACAGGGAAGAAATTCTTTCAGGTACAGACAGAAAAGGACTGGGGGCTAGGATTCAACTACAGGGGTTCCAGTCTCAGAACTCCCAGCCTGAACCGTATACATACGGCGTCACATGCAGCCCTTAAACAGTGCAGCTGCCTTATGATTTGATCCCACACCGTAACCCAGAGAAATACAAGTCCATTAAGTTCAAAAATTGTATATGGGATTCTACACACACACACACACACACACACACACACACACACGCGAGTAACAGTGTGAGATGATAGCTGTACTTATTTGTTTCACTAAGGTAACCTTTCACTATCTAAATGTATCCGAAAACATCACGTTGGATACCTTAAACACGCACAATAAAGCCCAACACAGTGGCCCCGCTTGTAATCCCAGCAGATTGGAAGGCTGAGGCAGAAGGATCCCAGTTCAAAGCCAGTTTTAGTAATTTCAGTGAGATTCTGTCTCTAAATAAACTATTTAAAAAGGGGCTGAGGATGTGGCTCAGTGGTAAAGCACCCCTGGGTTCAATCCCGGATACCTAAATAAATAAATATGAAAAGCAATAAAAGTCCAGTCGGGGATGAGGGGGGCATTAAATCTCTTCATTAAACCTCAAATTAAGAGACACTGAAGGGACCATTCACACAATACAGCACATTTCCTGAAATTCATTTTTCCTCACATTATTTTCAATTTCTTATGCTGAACTCAGGCTCCCCCAGTTCCCTCAAACTTAAGCATGCCTCTCTACCTTCTCATTTGCTTTGAGAGAGAATTCTCTCTTTAAATAGGCATTTTTTTCCTGATGCCCACAGTGCCCTATAACCTCAGCCCTCCGGAGACTGAGGCAGGAAGATCAAGTTCCAGAGCCCCTGTCTCAAAAATAAAAAGGGCTAGGGGCTGGGATTGTGACTCAAGATAGCATGCTAGGCCCTGGGTTCCATCCTCAGCACTAAAAATAATAAACATTTTGTGTCCAACTACAACTAAAAAATAAATATTTAAAAATAAATAAAAAGGACTGAAGATGTGGCTCAGTGCTAAAATGTCCCCTGAGTCAAATCTCCAGTAGCCCCCCAAGGGCTTTTTTCCTGTTCTTTCCAGCTGCTGCTTTATAAATAGATTTTTTTTCTCTCCTTCCCTCACTTTCTCTCTCCCTCCCTCTCTCTCTGGTGCTAAGGGACCAGTACCTTGCATATGTGAATAAATGCTCTACCACTTGAGCTACACCTCCCCATCCCTAAATTATCCCTCTTGCCAGTTATTAGTCCAATATCATATTATGTCCAAAAAAAATTGGAAGGGAAGGGAAGATGTCTAGGAACAAAGAAAAGATGTCTTCCATATTTATGTATTAATATCTTTTCTTCGTGGCATATATGATATAGATTCTAAAGTGTTTCTGTTGTAAAGTTTTTAAGGGTCTGAAAACTGGAAAGTTGGAATAAAGCAGTGAGTTTCATAAAACCCAAAGTATTTCCCTTAAAGAACTATATTTTATTCTGGGACTGCAGTGCTTAAATAATTGATTTTTTTTCCTAAAACCCTACAGCAGAAGACTAAGAAAAAATTTAAATTGCATACCTAATATTAATATTCAAATTTTTAAGAAAATAGTGTATGATATTTGAAAGCTGGGAACCTAATGAACTAGGGGAAAGATGAAGGCAAAATATTCTCAACACAAAACACATTGCAAATTATAGCTAGTTGCTTAAAGCAGGAACTGTAGGGTCTGGGTTGTGGCTCAGGGGTAGAGTTCTTGCCTAGCATGAGAGAGGCACTGGGTTGGATCCCTAGCACCACATAAAAATAAACAAATAGAATAAAGGTATTGTGTCCTTAATCTACAATTTAAAAAATTAGGAGCTGTAGGACAATGGAGTGTGTGTGTTGGTGTCCTGAGACTACTGTATCAAAGGACCACAAACCCAGTGGAGTAAAACAGTAGAAATGTATTATCTGAGTTCTAGAGAATAGGACTCCAAGATCAAGGTGTCAGCATGGGCCATGATTGCCTCCAAAACCTGTAAGAGAGAATGCTTCCTTGCTTCTTTCTGGCCTCTGGTGGTGGCCATCAATCATTGGTGATCCTTGTCTTGCCAATCATCACTCCAGTCTCTTTGTCCATCATCACATGATACTCTCCCTGTGTGTCTTTATCTCTTTTCTAAATTCACTAATTATATTGGATTAACGCCTACCCTGTGACTTCATCTTAATTTGATTATATCTGCAAAGACACCATATCCAAATAAAGTCACAGGTACTAGGGGCTCGGACTATAGCATATCTTTTTGGGTGACACAGTTCAGTCTGGGACAAACTACTTAATCCAAAGGAAAAGATATTTTGCCAAAACAACTGATTCATCTTTCCTTAAGTGAGGATCCTAAATGGGTTCCCAATTATCCAGAAAGCCGCCTTCCATCTTTGAAACTACAGGAATGGAAATAATCACCTAGGAAGAGAGTACAGATAGGGAAGAGAAGAGGGAGGGAACATAGGGTCCTGAAGAAGCCATCATGTAAAAGGTAAAGATTGGAGGAGGTACATGTGAAAGAAATGGAGAACAAGGAATGAGTAGCCAGAGAGGTCAAAAGGGAACTGAGTGAGGGTTGGCCTGTCAAAGGAACCACAGGGAAGGGGGGTTTTATAGAGGCGGAAGTGGCTTTTCAAAGCCAGAAGCCATAGAGAGTTCAGATGAGAGGAGGAAGAAGTGTCTGTTGGATTTGCAAATTAGGAGGTTATTATTGACCTAAATTAAAACACTTTTGGTGGAGGAGGAAAAGGCAGAGAGTCCAAAAATGAGTAACAAGTAAGGAAGTGCTGAGAACATGCAAGGTCTATATTCTTGTGCTGCTTTCATGAAAGCAAGGACTGCTGCTGTACTCATGCAGCGCCTGGCATTCATGTAGTCAGCATTTAGTTTTACCTTTATCATCATCTTCATTATATTACAACTGCTTCTAATCCTCCTGAGTTGGAGGGTACTGAGGAATCAGCAAAAGAGGGCTGGGGCCAGAGGTGGCAGACAGTGCTGTTTTCAGCCAAGTAAAAATTGAAAAATTCAAGGAATACCTTAATCTCAGTTGAGGACTCAGGCCAAGGGCTTCTTGGCAGAGGTCTGAGAAGAGGTTTCAGGGAGTGCTAGCAGGTGGGCTGAACTCAAGAGAGAGCGCCTGGGCAGGCACTGTTCATGGGACCAGGGAAGCAGATGGTGTCTGAGAGGCCTGTTCACAGATTGCAGGGCTTCAGCCACAGGTCCTGGCTACAATGAGAGCCAGAGCATGGAGAGAGCAGTGGAAAGAGCTAGACAGGGCTCTAGGCCAGGCGGAAGCTATCCCAGTCACCAGAACAAGGACCTGGGCACAAGAGCCAAGGAAGAAAAGCAGTTGTAGCTTGCGGGAGGGAGAGAACCCAGGTGCCAGGACTCAGGGCAGGAGCCTGCCACTCAGAAGGGAACAGGGAAGAGCCCGGAGTGCTGAAGACAAAGCCAGCCAGAAGATGACCCACAGCTGAACCCCACCAACCAAAAGAGGGACTCAAGGCTGCTGTTGCACTGGGTGCCTTGTATTTGTGATCGTGTGTGATCTTGGAGCCCAGCCATGGGAGATAGAGGCAGTGAAAGACTTATCAGCCTGACCCAGAGTAGTGATTCATCTACCACTAAAGAATGTGTCTTCCTTTCCTTCCAGCCACCTTCAGTGGCCTTAATAGATTTTTATCTAAGATAAGTAATACACTCAGCCAAGGCAGGACTAATTGGCAAGAAGAAATGGTGAAGTTTGATCTTCAGATAATAAAAGATAAAAACATGAGGGCTGGGACTGTAGCTCAGTGGTATCACACTTGCCTGGCATGTGTGTGGCACTGGTTAGATTCTCAGCATCACGTATAAATAAATAAAGATCTATCAACAACTAAGAAAAAATTTAAAAAACAATAAACATGATGTAATAATGACTCAGATGCCTATTTGGTTGACAAATGATGCCACAGATTTGATATGCATGTGAAGTGCACATAGTCATGTGTCAAAGAGTTCTTATGTTCTAAGAAATAAGAAATGTTCACAGTGAGGTGAATTGGTCAGGGTGCAAACATCAAGGAGTACACTTGCAGAAACCTAGGGGTACAGCCTACTACACACTTGGGCTGCAAGGTATAGTCTATTTAGTTATTAACTTTTTTGCGAATAAAAACAAAGACACAAGCACACATATTAGCCTAAATTTGCACAGGGTCAGGATTATCAGTATTGCTTGCTTCCACCTCTATATCT